CCGATCCTTTTTATTCTTTTTTTTTTTAAGATTTTATTTATTTATTTGACAGAGATCACAAGTAAGCAGAGAGTCAGGCAGAGAGAGAGCAGGGGAAGCAGGCTCCCTGCTGAGCAGAGAGCCCAATGCGGCGCTCGATCCCAGGACCCTGAGATCATGACCTGAGCCGAAGGCAGAGGCTTTAACCCACTGAGCCACTCAGGTGCCCCATGATTCTTTTTATTCTTAAAAAATATTTTATTTATTTATTTATTTATTTGAGAGAAAAGGAGAGCACGGCTGGGGGAGAGGGGCAAAGGGAGAGGGAGAGAAATCTCAGGCAGACTCTGGGCTGAGTGTGGAGCCCATCTGGGGCTCAATCTCACGACACTGAGATCATGACCTGAGCTGAAATCAGGAGTTGGATGCTCAACCGACTGAGCCATCCAGGTGCCCCGTTGCTTAATTTCTTTTCATGATATATCCAGAATAGGCAAATCCATAGAGATGGAAAGCAGATTAAAGTGGTTATCAGGGCTGGGAGGTAGAGGGAAGTGGGGAGTGATTACTTAATAGAGACAGAGTGTTTTTCTGGAGTGAGGAAACAATTTTGGAACTCAAGAGAGGTGCTGGTGGCCTAATATTTTAAATATATTAAGAGCAACTGAATTGTGCACTTTAAAGTGATTAATTGTATGTTATGTGAATTTCATCTCAAGAAAAAAGAAAAACCTCAGTTTATGGTGCAGTGAGAATATAAACTTCCAACTCTATTAGGATCTAATTCATTATTTTATTTTTATTTTTTAAAAGATTTTATTTATTTATTTGACAGACAGAGATCACAAGTAAGCAGAGAGGAAGGCAGAGAGAGAGGGGGAGGCAGGCTCCCTGCGGAGCAGAGAGCCCAATGTGGGGCTTGATCCCACAACCCTGGGATCATGACCCGAGCCGAAGGCAGAAGCTTTAACCCACTGAGCCACCCAGGCGCTCCTAGGATCTAATTTAGTAGTACACACCTACAAGGAGCCCACTGAAAGAGCTCCTATTGGCTAAAGAGAATGATTTGAGCAACAAGGTCAAGCAATATTGAGCTACACTCCAGATAATACAATTAGTGATTAAATAGGTTAATAAATGGGGGAGAAGAGTCTAGTGTCCTGTGCAGAAGAATTCCAAGTAATTCATGAAACTATACTGCCACGAAGGAAGGGGAACATAACTCCCCCTTGGCATGAACTGTACAGAGAGACTTCTTTCTGAATAGTGCACTGTGCAAAAGGGAGCAGAGCTAGTAACGTTACGGTGGGGGACCTGACAGACACTACTTCAGTCGTTGATCAAGGTCAACAGCAGTTGTCATGAATCATGTTGATTTATATATCCTTGATATAACATGGAGATGTCATCTTACTTCTGCAATATTCCTTCTCTAAACCTATCACCCCACAAGTGTAATCATGAAAGAACATCAGATAAATCCCAATAAAAGGTCATCTTGCAATATCCCTGGCTAGGATTCCTCGAAACTGTTGGAGACATAAAAAGAAGAAGAAGCCTGGGAAATTGTCACAGACTAAATATAATATGATGTCCTGGGTGAGATTCTGGAACAGGAAAAGGGCAATTAGGTGAAAACTGAGGAAATCTAAAGTGTGGATTTCAGGGAACAAAGATGTATCAATATTAGTTTGTGGGGCACCAGGGTGGTTCAGTTGATGAAGCGACTGCCTTCAGCTCAGGTCATGATCCTGGAGTCCCAGGATCAAGTCCCGCATTGGGCTCCCTGCTCAGCGGGGAGTCTGCTTCTCCCTCTAACCCTCTCCTTTCTCATGCTCTCTCTCTCTCTCTCTCTCTCTCTAAGTACATAAATGAAATCTTAAAAAATATATTGGTTTGCCACTTCTAACAAATGTATCATGGTAATGTAAGATGTTGATAATAGGGAAACTGCAGAGGTACTGGAAATTCTCTTTGTACCCTCTTCTCAGTGTTTCTGTAAATTTAAAACTTATCTAAAAAATGAGGTCTGTTTTACAAGTGTGCCTACCCTTTGCCACTGAGAGACATATGTACTTGGTACTGAATGCAGACTCTGGAGTGAGATTGCTTGGGTTCAGATACCAAACTCTGCCACTAAACTGTGGTTGATAGCCTTCAAGATGGCCTCCAGGAACCCCTGCCTCCTGACAGTCATGCCCTGTATAGTCCTTGTCCTCACTGAATCAGGCAGGCTCATGAGACCAATAGAGTTGTGGAAATGATGCTGTGTGATTTCTGAGTCTAGCTCTTAAAAGGCACTGTGATTTCCTCCTTGCTTTTTCTCTTCGATTGCTCACTTTGGGGAAAGCCAGCTGCCATATCATAAGGACATGAAGGAATGCTTTGGAGAGGTTCACACGGTTGGGAATTGGATCCTCCACTAATAATTCCCACCAGCTTGCCCGCCATGTGAGGGAGCTACCTTGGAGAGGGCTTCTCCAGCCTCAGTCGAGCTTTCAGATGACAGCAGCCCCAGCTGACATTTAATTGTAATCTTGTGAGAGACCCCTGAGCCCAAACCGTGCAGTTCAGCGACTCCCTGTGGATTCCCAACCCACCAAAACTGTAAATGATAATACTTACTGCTTCAAACCTCCAAGTTTTGGGGTAATTTGTTTGATAGCAATAGATAAAACTAAGGCACTAATTCAGGGGTAGGCACTTTTATTTCCTCCCATAAATGACAAGGTAATAAATATTTTAGGCTTTTCAGGTCACATATAGTCTGTTACATACTCTTCTTTTAAAAATTCTTTTATTTAAAAAAAATAAAAATTCTTTTATTTTTTAAAAAGATTTATTCATTTATTTGACACAGAGAGATCACAAGTAGGCAGAGAGGCAGGCAGAGAGAGAGGGAGAAGCAGGCTCCTCGCTGAGCAGGGAGCCCCATGTAGGGCTGGAGCCTGATGTAGGGCTCAATCCCAGGACCCTGAGATCATGACCTGAGCTGAGGGCAGAGGCTTAACCCTTTTGAGCCACCCAGGCACCCCTAAACTCTTCTAAAATGTATAAAAAAATTCTAAGCTTGAGGGCTGTGAGCCCCTCTGCTGCTGGCTTCTTTCCTTCTCCTTTCCATTCACTTCTCTCTTTCTCCTCTCCCTTTCTTCTCTTTAATTTACTCCATCATTAATTCAGCAAAATGAACACCTACTGTGTGCCAGGCCCTGCGTGGGCTGCTGCAGTTATAACTGTGACTAAATTGCCTTTCTTCCCAGCCGTATGGGAGACAGACAGCAAAGCTGTGAGTAAAGAACCCAGCATGTCACATGCACTATAGCATGTACTCTGAAGTAAACAAGCAGGTTGCAGGGAGAGAAAAGGGTCCAGTACATCTGGCTGGGTGGCTGGAGGTGTCTCTGAGTGGAGACTGGAGGGATGAAGAGTAAGCAATCATGGGAAAAGTGTTCTGGGCAGAGGGAACAGCTTAAGCAATAGCCCAGAGGCAAGAAAGAGCTAGAAGTTTCTGCGAACTGTGGAGGACAGTGTGGCTGGAGTGAGTGAGGTGGAGAGTGGGGGGCCATGGGATCAGAGAGGTGATGGGGCCACAGTGCAGGGCCTTGAGGGCTGTGGCGGTGGAGCAATAGGCGTTGGGAGGGCTTTGAGCAGGAGTCGTTGACCTGATTTTTCTCTCTGACCTGTAGATTCTAGCAACTCTGCTTTCTCCCATGGCCTCTTGTCCTCCTCATTGGAAGGCCGGTGAGGATTTACTGAATATTTACTGTATTCTGGCACTCACAATTACTCTCTGAGGGAAGTAATGGTAAAGACGAGGAAACCAAAGCACAGAGAGGTGACAAACTGGCCAAGGTCACACAGCCAGGAGGAAGTGGAGGCAGAATCTGAACTCAGGCAGCACCGCTGTGCTATTCTTGTGGCCCCACAGCTCCAGCCTCCTCCCCGGGTCTCCTGCCATCAACTCCGCTCTCATCCATCAACCAGCTGGGCCTTCTACCTCAGGGCTGGTCAGCTCCTCTCTTGGTCAAACGTCTTCCATGGCTCCCTGCTGCCCTTGATAATGACTAAGTCCTCTAGCCTGGGATTCAAAACCTTTTATGAAGTCAGCCAACCCAGCAGCCTCCCTGCCCCATCTTTCTCTTTCTCCCTCTTACCTCGGTCCCTCATTGAGACCCCAAGATCAAGCCATCCTGGGTGCCTTGCAGTCCCTTGGCACTTGGGGTTTCCTGGAGACACTGAGTTTCTGCCTTGGCTTGGCAGCTCTCCCACTTCCATCCCAGGCCACATGATGAAACTCGTTCACTTTCCCTTGGCCCCTGTCTCAGCTCCCCAGTTGCCGGGGGTTCCTTATCGAATATTCCAACAGCACCAAGTGCAGGGTGGGCACCAAATTCATTCATAATTCATTCATTCATGCATTCATTTAACAATCATTTCCTGAGCACCTACTGTGTACCAGCCCCCTGCTGTGTGAACTGAGAACATTGCAGTGAACAAGACAGACATGACCCCTAGTTTTAAGAAGCCGACATTGTAAAGGCAGGAGAAATGTCCATTTAACAATCAGACCGATAATATCATATACAATGTATTTATAAGTGTTATTGAGAGAATAAAGCGGGGTAAGGGGAGAGAGTGATGGAAGGGGGATCTCTTTTAGATATGTTATTAAAGGAAGTATCTTTGAGGAAGGAACACTTAAACACTTCAATTCCAGAATATTATTCAGCCATGAGGACAAAGAAAGTCCAGATAAGGGAAGGGTTCAACCCATGCATATATCTGGAGGAAGGGTGTACTTGGTAGAGGGAACAGTGTGTGTGCAAAGGTCCTGAGGTAGGAATCAACTTGGGTGTTGGATGGACACAAAGGAGGCCAGTATAATTGAAATGCCGTTGGAGGGTGAGGGAGGAGGCACGTCCTTGTGATGTCAGGTCCCTTGATGAATGTTGGAGCAGGGACAAACGTACAGACTTTGGGTATGATACTCCATGCTCATCATTTGGAGTCAAGGCCAGTGCCCTGTGCCTGCTTGGAAACAACCTCCTGAGGGTGGTAGAGACCTCAGAGTCTCAGGACTCACAGCCATGAATGCTCATATATTCTGAAAATCTCTCCAGCTGGTCCAGCAATTCCTTCTTGTCCGCATCCCCATCGGCCGGCCACTGCATGAGGAATGTCTTGTGGCCCAGGACGTAGATATAACTGTGGGTGAGACACGGCAAGGAGGGTGAGGAGAGCCCGGGGACCTGGAAGCATGGAGCCCTCCCTGCCATGCTCCTCTGCCCTGATAGGCAGCCTCCCAGAGCCACAGCCTGTCATGTTCACTCCACCAGGCCATTTTGGGTCCCCCAGCCTGTAGCCAGCATGGCTGGGGATTAGAAAAGGCTCCCCTTCCTCTGATTCTTTACCTCCCTTTGTTGGAAAACCGAATTTCTATCTACAACATCTACATGCGAATGGAGTCCCACTCATCCCCCACCCCTCAGCTGGAGTTGAGCAGTGTGTAGTCTACACTTCCCTTCAGGGCAGCCCTGAAAGCTGAGACTTCTGCTGATCGGTGACAGGTGTTGATAGGAATTGTTGACACTAGGGACTGGACTGGGGTAGGGAAGGGGGGCCCCCCGCCTGAGTCCTGGAACAGCAGGAGCCCCCACGCACGCAGATTTGACTTTCCACAGGTCCAATGCGTGGCCCATGATGAGGTATGTCTCCTGTTCCTGCAGCCCCAGGGAGTTGTGGCAGGTGGCGTGAGAGATGAACTTCTTCCTGGTGAGGGACACGGCAGAGTCTGTACCTGGAGGAGAGGAGACCCAGCGTGTGAGCGCACACAGGTCTGGCCCTTTCGCACATTGGGATCCCCAGGGTAGAACCCCGCGCTGCCTCTTCGGCCCCCTCGGACGTACCCCTCTTGATGATGTCTTCGAGTTTCATGTTGTAATAGATGTACGGATTGGAGGCGGAGGACTGTACAGACTCCAGCCTGACCTTGTACACTGGGAAAGCGGGGGCAGGAGGGTGTCCTGTTGGCATGTGGCCTGCAGGCAGACCTCTTCCCGCTGCCGACCACTTCCCACACTCACCGAAGTCCACGCCCGTCTCACAGGCTGCTGCCTGGAGCTCCTCCTGCCGCAGTCCCGCCGTGTTCTTCCTTGGAGATGGGCATTGTTCTGGGGGGTCAGGAAGGCAGCTGCTCTGGCTGTGCTGGGGGAGGGGGCTTCCTCCCATCTCATCCCCATCTGGCCCCAGGCCAGCCACCTCTAGGTCTCTGAGTCAGGGTACTCTCTCATTTCCTCCATGTCTCTTTTGGTCTCTTTCTCCCCTCCAAGTCTCTTTATGTCTCCCTCCATTTCTGGCTGTGCCTGGCTGTGCGTGTCAGTCTGTCTCTGGGTCTCCTTTTTTGTTTCTCTTTGTCTCTGTCTTCCCGTCTCACTGCCTCTCTCTGTCTAAACTCAGCCTAGACGACAGCCAGGAGGTGATGAAGGGCTCCTGGATCCCCCGCATGGCAACCCCGGTCTCTCGGTCCCCATGACCTCACCTTCCGCACATCTGCAGACATCTTTGTGACAAATCTTCCGCAGGGAAGAGTGCTCTGCGGGCAGGTTGTAGACGGAGCTGCATCTCCGGGCTGAGAGAGGGGCCAGTGCCTGGGGTGGGCTTGGGCCAGCGTCCCTGCGGGCTGGGACACCCCTGGCTCCGCCCGAAGGCCCCTCCCCCTTGAAGACTCGGTTCTTCCTGCCGCAGGCCGCGCCCAGTCACGTCTCCCTCCCACCCCTTTCCAGACTCCCCACAACTTCGACCTGCCGGGAAGGCCACGCCCCTTATCACCACGCCCATGTCGGTCCCTTTCAGGACCATTCTACCCTTCTTCCCCAATTCCCCTTGCCCAGGCCCCTCTTAGCCACGCCTCAGTCCTCTTCCTGGCCCCGCCCCTCATCTCTCCCTCCTGGCCCAGTGCTTCACAGTCCCCTCTCTGGATACCCTTCCACCCCACAACCCCTACCCATGCTTACAAGGCTCGTAGTAGTCATATATGGTGACCTGGGCGGCCTGCAGGAACTCCACCTGCAGCATTCGGTGGATCCGGAAGCCCAGCACGGTGTCTTCCTTATGGGAGAGCTGGGGAGAGGGAATCCTGTCTGAGCTGACCAGGGCCACTGACCACGGGGCACTGACCACAGGGCCTTGGCCATAACACTGGTAACGTGTCCTTGCAGCCTGGGGAGCTGACCTCAGACCCTGTAGTTCTCTGGCAACACTGTCCAAGGTGCTGACTGTGGATTCTCTGCCCACGGGGCTGCCCATAGGCCTCTGGAGGAGGACAGCCAGCCTTCCTTACCTTATCCAGGTAGAGGACAACGGTGTTGTCAGTGGAATTCATCTTGATCTCATAGTGGAAGGCATACATCTCCATAGTACTTGTAAGCTGGGGCAGAAGGTGAGGATTGCAGGTTGTCAGAGACCCCCCGCTGAGGTCCCCAGCTCTAGGAGCTCTGGTCAGTGTGAAGTAACTCTCAAGCTCCCAGCCTTTGTCCCATCAACACCAGTGTCGGGGAAACTGAGGCACAATCAGGGCAAGAATTTGTCTAAGGTCATGGAGGGAGGCAATCAGGTGTGATCATGGCTACGGACCATGGGGCATTAATCTGGGGGCCTTGAACGCCATGCTCACACAGGGAATGTGTGATGTTGCTAGGGCATCCCCACCCTGCTCAGGAGTAGGCAGGTGGGACCTACATTACCTGTTTGAGGTCATTCTTGTTGGGGTAGAAGCCAGTGAGTAGGGAGACTTCTATGATGCTCATGGTGGCCTCTCGATTTCCCAGGAACCTGGGGATTTCACAGCTGCATTATCTCTTCCCACTCTCCTCCTGCCTCTCCCCCAATGCTCCTACTGCCATCATCTATCTCATGCCTGGATGAACGCAGTCAGCAGCCTCCTCCTGGATCTCCCCGTTACTCCTCTGCCCCCAGCAAGCTTACAGATTTAGCAAGCAGGAATCTGATGGGTTGCTTCCTTGCTTAACAACCTTTACCAGGCGCCTTGTCTCACCCTTTCGCTTTGCCTCCTCTCAGCCCAGCCTTCATGTGATTGCTTCTAAGTGTCTCTCTCCTGCACTGGACCTTGGCATATGCTGTCCTCTCAGCCTGGAGTCCTCACTCCTCTTTCTGCCCTGAAACATCCTTGCATCTTTGCAATTTCCACTGATCCGTCACTCCCTCTGGGAAGCCTTCTCCTGCCCAGGCTCCAGGTCGTTCTCTAACTTGCTCTCCTATGGTTCCTGGGATCTCTCTTTTGCCATATTTAGTCACAGTTGTCATTTTACATCGATTCTGGGTGATTATTTTGTTATTGTTTGTCTCCCCTGATAGGCTGTGAGCTCTACCAGGCAGAGGAGAGCTTCCTGGCTCACAGCTGTGCCCTCAGTTCTTAGAACAGAGCCTGGCATTCGGTAGATGCTCAACACATGTTTTTATCTGGGGTAGACCTGGATGAAGGCATCTGGGAGACAGGGCAGAACTGGGGTAGGGGTGGGATGTCTTGAGAAGATGAGGGCAGAGAGAGCTGTGGGCTTGGAATCAGTCCTGGGCATCTGGGACATGGAGCAGGTTTGCCGTGATGGAGCCCACCAGGACATGGCAGGTTGAGGGACAGGACTGGGGAGCAGGATGGCAGACAAGCATGGGAAGGCAGGGGAAGAGGCCAGGGGGATGGGCAGGGGAGGGCAGGATGAGTGGTAGAATGAAGGGGCAAGCATGGAGAAGGAAGCTTGGCTGATTTCCACCCTCCATTCAAGACATAAGGAGAGCTGGTAAGGAGTCTGGATACCAGGAAGTGAGGACTTCCTCCTGCCCCACCCAAGATCCGGGTGCTCTAACCTTGTCTCCATCCGGAGCTGGAAGGTCTCTTCCCCGTTTTTATTATCTGCAGAGAGAAGGCAGGAGTTTAGAGGCTGGGTAACACAGCTTCCTGTGTTCAATTCCTGGCTCTGCTGTGTGACCTTGGGCAAGTTCCTTAAACTCTCTATGTTTTAGTTACCTAATTGGTAAATGGGGAGCATAATATTCCCAACCCAGCAGAGTTGTAGAATTAACTGAGTTAATACAATAAAGCACTAATGTAGTGCCTTATTGGTACTTTATAACTGTCAATTACTCTTACTACCATTACTACTACTACCACCGCCACCACTACTACTACTACTACTATTATTATTATTTAGAAATGCAATCCAAGCCAAAGCCTGCAAGTCTTGGGGCTGGTGAGGCTTATTCCCCTCATCCCTACAGTGAGCTCCCAATGGCAGAGTCCTGTCTCTTCTTCCTTGGCACCCCAGACTAGGAATTCTAGAATCTCATATTTTATAATCTCTACAGCCCCTTATCCCAGTTCAGCCCCCATCATCTCCTGCAAGAACAGTGTCGTCACCTCCTCCCTGGTCTCCCAGCTTCTGCCCTTGCCCTCTATAGTCTGTGCAAACCTGTGCTAGGTCATACCCCTCCTTTGCTTAGAGCCCTCTATAGCTCCCTCTTCACTCTAAGCAAAACCCAAAGTTCTCACTATGGCCCATGAATCCCTGCACTGTCTGCCCCCATCATCTCTCCAACTCTTTTTCCTAAAACCCTACCCCTTGCTCCTCTCTGGCCACAATGGCTTCTTCAAACCAGGTAAGCTCATTCTTGTCTCCAGACCTCTGCACCTGCTGTTCTGCCTGCCTGGAATGCTATTCCCTTAGATCCTTCCTGGCTCATTCTCCACTTCTTTCATGTCTGAGCTCAAATGCCACCTCCTCAGAGATCTTTCCCTGGACTTCCTCCACATGTGTATCACCTTTTCTGCTTTATTTTTTGTGGTACTTATCATCACCTACTAGTGTGCTATATATTTATTTTTTATAATGCAGATTGTTATAAGTAAATAGCAGTAGAAGTATAATGTATTTATTGTTATATTATTGTTTGTCTCCCCCTACTAGAATGTGGGGTATTTTTTCTTGTTCATGCCTGTGTTCCAGGGTCCAGAAACAGGGCAAGACACATAGTCAGTGCTCAATAAATACTTGTTGAAAAGTCGAATAAGGCAATACATGTGCTTACTGAATGAAACCTAAAATAAAGTAATAAAAAAGAAGGTCTGGGAATCTTTGGGTCTAGGCTCACCTTTCAAGGTATTATGGAGAGTCACATTCAGTTGGTACAGGTTGCAGGTGCCCTCCTCGGACTCTGGGGACCTGTGGTACATGGTCAGGATCTGCCAGGGAAGGAAAGTTGTCAAGAGACCATTTCCACCTACTCCCTTCCTCCTCACTCCAGTCCTCGCCTATCCAGGTTCTGTCCCTGTGGATAATTCACAGCGAAGTCTGCGTGCCCCCACATTCTTGGGTGCAGTGACTAGAACACTCTTTAGAGTCTAGACCACCTCCTTGCAGGAGGGCATTCTGTAGTAATTGAAGTAGATTCTCCCTGTGCTCTCTATATGGTAGCAACTGGCCATATGTCACTATTGAGCACTTGAAATGTGGCTAGCACAACTGAGGAACTGAATTTTTACTTTCACTTAATTCAGATTTAACAGAGGCTCATGGGGAGTATGACATGCCCAAAGTCACACAACAAAGGCAGAGATTCAACTGTGACTCCATTGCCAGAAATATGAAAACAGTTGCTCAAATTCAGTGAACAAGAGCTCTGTTCTCCTGGGCCACAGGCTACGGAGCCAGAAGATATAGCAGAGGGGGAAGTGGGGAGTCATCCTCTGGGCATTGGTGGGCATGCTGGAGGGACAATCTTCCTTTGAGGGGAGGGAAGAAAGAAACATCCCTTCAGGGACTCAGCATGGAAGGGGCAGACAGGTCCAAAGACCCTTGGCCTCTACCTCTCCTGACTCTTGACTTATAACAAGTGAAGACTTTTCTGAGTCTCTATTTCCCCACCTGTTAAATGGAGTCCATATTTTTACCAACTTTCTAGGGGCAGGTTTTGAGGTGTCCTTAACTTGGTTCCTAGTAAATAGTAGTGCCCTACATGGTAGCTAAAAGTATTGCTGATTTCAATCTTGTCTTGCAATAAACTGCCTCTATTCCCACCAACAAGGGGGATGGTGGTTGTACATGAGGTCCTCCAGCTAAGGACCTCGTGGTGGGACACCAGACTTACCGAGATTGTGCCTCTCCCACTGCCACTGGCTTTGATCTCTAGGTCATCCTGGGCAGAGAACTGAACGGAAGCAAGAAGAGGATTTGAGCACACAAGAAGCAGCAAAACATGGCTCAAATGCAATGGGTTTGGGGAGGAAAACATGCATGGGCAATGAGGCTTCAGTGATTTCCCTAACTTGGGGTCTAGTGACTCACTGCCCCCCTCACTCCACATAGATGATTTTACTTTTTCTTTTTGATAGAGCATTTGTGGTGTCTACACTGTCATAGATCAACTACTACTGCCAACTCAGGCTGTGTTCTAATGTACATCTGTTCAATCCATCCACTTTACAGTGTCTGCAGAGTTTCTTGTGCATGGAGCCACCACGAGATTCTTCTCCCTGGCATCTATGCATCTACTCTTGTTTCCATCATACATTTCCTTTATCAACCAGAGAAAAATTTTACAAATTCACATCTATTCCCATCACCTCTGCTTAAGCCCCATTGCTATTCTTGGGATGCTTCTGTCTCAGGGCCTTTGCACCTGCTATTTCCTCTGCTTAGATACCCACAAGCCTCACTTCTTCCTTTCCTTAACGTCTTTGCTCAAATGTTACCCTCTTGGAGAGAACTTCCCTGCCCCTCCTATCAAAAATTGCAACTCCTTAATGTTCCCATCCCCCCTTTCTGCTTAATTTTTAGCTATAGCCTTTGCCACCATGTAACACACTACATATTCTACTTCCTCACATCTCTTTATTGTCTGTCTCACCCATTAAAACATAAAATTCTACAGGGAAAGGGATTTTTAAAATTTCTTATTCATGGCTATATTCCCAGTACCTACAATAGTGCCTGGCATACAGTGAGTGCTCAGTAAAGATGGGTCAAAGAATTGGAGGTAAATATCACTTCCTCCATGGAGTAAGATCGTGATTACCTTCTTCCTCACACCCAGGGTATTTTCCCCTTTACACATTATTTCTTTTCCATATGTCCAGAAAGCTTAAAATAGTTTTTGTCTTAGTTTCTTTCTACACTGTAAGTTTCCTGTGAGCAGAGGCTTCATAATACATCCCCATTGCCCAGGAAAGTGACTGACACACAACAGGTGCTCAAGAAATGGTGGAATAGGGGCACCTGGGTGGCTCAGTGGATTAAGCCTCTGTCTTCGGCTTGGGTCATGGTCCCAGGGTCCTGGGATCTAGCCCCGAATCGGGTTCTCTGCTCAGCGGGGGGCCTGCTTCCCCCCTCCCCCTCTGCCTGCCCCTCTGCCTATTTGTCATCTCTCTCTGTCAGATAAATAAATAAAATCTTAAAAAAAAAAAGAAATGGTGGAATAAATGAGTCAATACATTGACAGTATAGACACTGGTTGTGAGATAATCTTAGAGAGGGACACTGGCAGGGACACGACTCTTGGCCTCACCCCCAGTGCCACCTCTGTATGACCTTCCTGTCAGCCCCTCCATGCCCTACCTTTGCTGACCGCAGATGGTAGGCGTTGCTCTGATCGATGATCCATTCAAAGTCCACGGCTTTCTTGGGCACGCTTATCTGGACCCTGAGATCCTGGCCACCATCGAAAGGGACAACTTTGCGGAAGAGGGTGAGAGCCTCAAGGGCCACCACAGTGGTCTAGGTGTTGGGGTGGGGCCTCACATCAGCACCACTGACAGAGCCCCCGGACTGCGCCCCGTGGCAAATCAGCACCACGGGAAGCTCCTTCCGGTGGGCTGGCCTTGTCAGCACCTAGGCTAGCATTCCTTCCCCAACCCCCTCCTCCCGAGGCCCGGGTCACCTGGGTGGACTTGAAGCCTCCGCCTAGCTCCCGCTTCTCCAGTAGCCACTTGGCAATGGCGTGCGTCTCATTATGCCGACCCAACACCACCTTCTGCATCAGCGCATAGGCCGTGGCCTCAATGGTGTACAGGGAGTTCCTGTCCAGTTTGTTCTGGGGCCAGTGGGTTTTATCTAGGAGATGGATGACCACTTTGTCTTCCCAAACTGGGCCCATTCACCAAAACCTGTCCTCTCCTTGTGTCATCTGGCCCCAATTTTCTCATCCACTGTTTTACTGAGCAGTTACTTTATATGAAACTCTTTGAGGAGGCATATGGACATTCTATTTTTGGAACAGATATCTCCTAGATGTCTAGGAGACAGGGACTCTAACTATTTAGAGATGGGGAAATTAAGGTTCAAGGTCCTCCAAGTCCCACCATTTCCACTGCAAGTGAGTTTTCCTAACTCCATTCCTCTTGACTTGGAGGAGGATGGGATAAGGATCCTTGGGCAGGCCAAGGGAGGCAGACACTCTCAGTTAACCACATTTTATGACCTTTTTTCCATCTTTGACCATGTCAAGCACTTTCCCAATTCAGGGCATTTGCACATGCCATTCTCCTAGCTTGGAATGTCTTTGGCCTTTCACACAGGTGGGCCTTCTTATCTTTTATTCCAGCTACGGAGTTAGTTCTCGTTTTGGAGAGGCCTTGGCAGTTCTCCAATCCATACTCCTCTTCCCTCTCCATCTCTCCCACCCATCTTGTATGTTATCATCCCTGTGCTTATCTCAGTTTGTACTTGATCTGTTTGTCTTTTGGCTGCTCCCCCAGGGTAGTAGGACCTCTGAGAGCAAGGACCATATTAGTGTTGTCCACCTTGATTTCTCAGAGTCTGAACTCAAGAGTTGGCACACCATAGATGTGCAATAAATGCAAAGTGATGAATCACACATTGCTGAATTTTAAATCACACAATTCCCCTCCCCTGCCCCCATGACTGTGATTCACACACATCTGGTTAAGAAGTGGCCCACACTCACCGTGGCTGGTGAAGCTGTCCAGGCGGTCATTGGCTCGGGGGCTATTGGTGAGGGCCAGAGCATAGGAGACTATGGCTACGGCAAAGGTTGTCTTAATTTTGGGAAGGCATTCCTCCAGGAAGCTACGGGCTCGTTCCATGCTGGTAGGCAAATTCTAGAAAGTTAGAGAGAGCAAACTAGAAGGGGGGCCATTAGAGGGAAGGGATCTAGGAGTTGGAAGAGAGGGATGCATGGGGAGGGACATGAGGATGGGGGAACTTCCTTTGGGCAGAGGATCTAGAGGGCTGGGCTCTGCAGAGCCTGCACTCCTCTTTGGTTCTTACCGGTATCTCCTGGTGGCACAAGTCCTTCCCCTCATCCAGGGCAATCAGAACAAGAGCTGTGAGGGATATGTCTGCTTCAGAACCTCGGTAGCCGCCCTGTGGAGGCAGGATCACACCCATGATCCCCCTAGTGTCTTAGAAAGACTTTCCCCAACATCTCCTGTGTAACCTTGAAAAGCTCCCCTGTGTGACCTTGAAAAGCTCCCAGGTGCTCAGCTCTGGGCTGGAGGATGCCAAAAGCAGGATGGGGAGAGAGAGAGAGAAGGAGGAGGAACCACCTCAAGATTTGCCTGTGTAAGGTCTGTATTACCAACCAAAGCCAACAGCCGTCGAAGGTGATGTGTTAAACTCTACACTATCTCAAAGCATTCTTTCAGCAGCTCTATCTTCCTGATGAGGGAAGTCATGGTCAGAGAGATGGTCTTCCCATTGGTTGAATAATGTCCCCCCCCAAAAAAAAATTCATGTCCACTCAGAACCTCTGATCTTACTTGGAAATAGGGTCTTTGAAGATGTAATTAGTTAAATTAGTAGGAGGTCATATTGATTAGAGTGGGCCCTACCTGGTGACTCCTGTCTTAAAAGGAGGCCATGGGAAGATTCAGAGAAGGAAGGAGGGCAAATGAGGATGAGGACAGAGGTTGGAGTGGTGCAGCTAGAAGTTCAGGAATGCTAAAGACTGCCCAGAGGCCATCAAGTCATAAGAGACAAGGAAAGATTCCCCGCTAGAGCCTTCAGAAGGAGCATGGCCCTGCTGACACTTTGATCTGGGACTTCTAGCTTCCAGAACTGTGACAAAATAAATACATTTCTGTTGTTTTGAGCCATCCTGTTTGTGGTACTTTTTACCACAATTAATTCGCACCCCACAGTCTCTTCTTCCCACGGTGGCCAGTGAAGCCTGTGAACTCTTGAATCGGGTTGTGTCCCTCCTTGGTTCAGAAGCCTCCATGGCTCCCATCTCAGAGGAAAAGCTCAAGCCCTCCCTGAAGCCCAAAGGTCCTGCACCATCTGTCCCACCCCCTCCCTCAGCTCTCCTCCTCCTCCTGTCCTCCAGGGTTGCTCACTCTGTCCCAGCCTCCTCGCTGTTCCTCAAACATAGTGGACACTTCTGGTCTCAGGACCTTTGCACATGGTGTTTCCTCCGCTTGGAACACTCTTTCTCTGATTATCCACATGACTTGCTCCCTCACCTCCTCAGGTCTCTAACAAACATCATCTCTTCATGAAGCCTCCCAAAATGACATCCCATCTCTTTGATTCACCTTTCCCTGCATTTTTCCCCATGTCACTTTTGCCATGCATGCCACACCATTTAGGTTTCTCTCACGCCCATTGCCTGTCCTTCACAAAAACACCCCCCCCATGAGAAGGGTCTGCAGTGCTTAAAGCAGTGCCTGGCACGTTGTAGGTGCCTGATAAGTGTTTGTTGGTAGGAAGAAACTCCTTTCTGTGAGCCTGTGAACCCCGTTTGTAACCCCTCTCTGTGCCACCGTCCTGTACAGCATCTGGCTCCTGTCAGGCCTCCCAAACCCCCTAACTCCTCCCTTCATCTGGGGTTGCAATCTGTCTTTTCTGGGTTTATGCACTCAACCAGAGTTTTATTCAGCAAACATTTGCCAGCTATGATGAATCAGGCCTGCTTCCCCCAACTGGAAGGACTCACAGTGCAGGGAAAGCAAACCTTGAGCAGATTATTTCAAATCCTCACCAAGGTCCCCAAGACCCTGCAGGTTTTAGGGCCTGGCATCTCTCTTCCCTTTCAGGCATCAGGACAGGCTACCTGCTTTCCCATCTTTGGGCTCTGGTCTGTTCCTTTTCCTCAGACCTCCCGAAGCCTCAGCACTTTTGCATGTACTGATCCCTTTGTCTGGAGCTCTCTTCTCCATTCTTCCTCTACTATGTCTATCCCTTCTTCAGGTTGCTTCTTTGTTGTCTCTTTGGCGCTTCCTGACCAGGCATGGCCCCTATTAAATACTTTCTCCTGTTATTTCTTTCCCATGGAACTCAGCACAGTTGTGATGTAAATAATCATTTGTTGTAATTACTTGGCTAACTTCCATCTTCCTCCCATACCCCAGCTTGTGAGTACTACAAGACAGGGGCTGTAAGTGTCTCATTTACTGCTATGTCTCCCCTCTGTCTAGGACAAGGCCTGGTACAGAGCAGTTGCTGGATAGATGTCTGTTGAATGACTGAATGACACCCCTACTGCAGTAGGTACAATAATAGAGACAAGCACAGGGCTGGCATTCAGGGGAGACCCCTGGAGGAGGTGGGTTTGAGCTTAAATCTAAAGAGAAAACACAATCTGGCCAGCCAAGGAAAAGCAAAAGGGATGGGGCTTGGCTATTCCGTGCAAAGAGAGCAGCTTAAGCAAACACAGTGAACTGGAGGGATCCGTGATCAGGGAGTAGTGGGGGTAAGTCTTGGGGGAGATACAGAAGAGAGGGATATAATAGAGAGATACTGTCATAGACAACTGTGAGCCATGGAAGGTGTTTGAACAGGGGAGAGACATCCCAGACTGTTTGAAAGCTATTTCTGGAGGCTAATGTGCAGGAATGTTGGGTAGGGATGGCTGTGTTGGCTGGGGGTTTGAGAAGACTCAGCTCAGAGGGAAGAGAACCAGGACTGGAGCCTGCTCGAAGTGGGAGTGAGAGAGGGACAGGGTCCCAGATGTGCCCAGCCTCTCTGACATTGTAACAGAGCTCAGAGAGGTCCAGAGCAGAGAGATGTGATGCTGGATGCCAGGCCCTGGCTTTTTCCTGTTCTCATTTTACCTGCAAACAGGTCAGGGGGCTGAGGGTCCCCCTAATAGTGCACAGAGCCCTGGGTTTGAATAGCCCAGGAACAGGGAGGGCAGTGGTCACCTGCATCGATGCCATGATCACGGGGCCATTCTCCAAGAAGTGCCCGTCCTCTGCCTGCCTCTTGGTGATGATCCAGTTGGCAGTGGCACAGAGAGACCGCAGATCAAGCCTGCTGGTCGTCATGATAGAGTAGGCCAGGGCAAAGACCCGGAACACGTAGCTCGTGAGCCTGCCCGGGGGTAGATGGGATGGGTGATGACTGGGAATGGCAGCCAAGGGGATTCAAGGACAGGGGCGTCTACACTAAGGGGAGTCCACACCTGCTGCTCCAGACTGTTCCAGACTGACCATTCATTTGCTGCTCTCCAGGTCGGCCGGCATGGACACTAACCCCTCCTCTGACATTCAGACACCAGCTCTCTATTCAGGTGCTCTCAACAACGACCCCTAGGTAATCCCCGGACACTATCACCCCCACAGTTACCCCCGAACTGTAAACTCCCGGGTAATCCTTCAGGTAAAACCCAAGTAGCTATCCTTCTGGCCCAAAGGCTGCCTGCCCCGAGCCCCTGCCGCATGGGTGCCCCTGGGGTCATCAAGCCCCAGGCTGTCCCTTGGGCTTCATTCAGGGTGGCAGTGGCAGGCCTGCCGACATCCTCATCCTCACCAGGTGCTGCCCGGGTGTCCGTTGCTGATGTGGTAGGTGCCGTGTGCACTCCGGTGGGTCAGCATGTGGGTGTAACCTGGGGAGATGGGTGGAGGAAGGCTTTCGGGGAGATTCGGCATTTGGGTGTGGCCGTAAAGGGGAGTCAGTCATCAGGTATGGACATGGGGGGGCAAGATGTGGGTGTGGCTTGGGGGCGCCTCCTATCGAGGCGTAACCATAGGAGGGGACTTGTCTAGGTGTATCTAGAGGTGGCTGCGGGGTCCAGGTGTGACCGTGGGAGCCAGTGTCCAGGGTCATCTGCGAGTAACCTGGGCAATTGAAGGGTATGACTAGGAATTTCTGCTCAGACGGATCATGGAAGATGGAACCCAGGAAAGGGGGTACTCTGGGGGCCACTACCTGGCAGTTTCCTTGGGGGTTGTTTCTTGGTTGTAAATTAGGGGTGTCACTGTGTCTGTGTGGCTTAGGGGAAGCTACTCCTGGGGATACCTCTCAGGTGTGTTCTGAGTGTTGCTACTAAAGTATGACCTGAAAGTTGCCTGGGAGATTACTGTTTGGGAGTAACTTTGGGGGTAAGAGTGTCAAGGTGTTACCTGAGGGTTATGGCTGAGAGCACCTGGAGGGAGAGATGGTGTCTGCGTGCAACTGGGAAGAAGGGTCAGTGCCCTGATGAACCTGAGGGTCTCTGTCTGGGTATAACTAGGACTGTGCATCTCTGGTTGTTACCTGGGAGGTGTGGATATAACCTGGAAAGGTGTAATGGGGAGACCACCACCTGGGATTATTCTGGAGCTGTCTGTTTGGGAGTTCTGTAGGGGTATAACCCAAGGCATGTCCCTGGGTATAACCTAGGACAGTGTCTGGATATAATAGAACTTGGGGGCTCCTGCTTTGGGGGTAAACCAGAGTGTTTGTTGTCAGACTGTAGCCTGTGAGAGGGGTCCAGATGAAGGGGTACTGGTGGGACTTGGTACCAGTTTGCATCCTGGGAGATGAGTCGGAATATGAATGCTGTTGTCAGGGAGAGTCCCGTGGGGTCCACACCCACCCCTGGGGGTACCCCAGCTACCTTTCCAGAGAGTCCCAGGAGGAAACCCCTCTCACCTCTGACAATGTTCTGTATCACCTGCTCCCTGAGCTCCACTCCAACCTTGCCCCACTGGCCAGCAGCGTCCAAATAGCGGGTCAGGATGACCGCAGTTACCAATTTGCTTAGTGTCTGCTCAGGGCAACCAGTCGGCACCCTCAGCAGCTGCCATTTTTCTCCAGGTGTCAGGGTGCCCAGGATCGTCTCGCCAAGGATGTCCCCTATCAGATGAACAGAATCATCTCAGGAATGGCCTAAGCCGCCATGGCTCTCGGGTCACCCTACATGGACACCCCAGCCCCTCCTCCCCCTGTGCCCAGGCAGGCGTGGGGCTCAGTCTCCAGATCCCTCCCCCCAGGCGTCGTCTCTGTCCCAAGCACCTTGGACACTGACAAACACTTCTGCTTCCGTATTGGGGACCATGTTGAAAAGGTTCTGTCTTGGCACTACTTCCATCTGGGTTTGACCTAGGTTAAGCCAACACAACCGTCTGTGACAAGCAGATTCTGGGGGTGTGGAATTCAGGATGTGCAGACCCAGGAGGAGCTCGTACTGCCCACCTGGCTGGACCCCCTCATTTCAGCTCCTCCCTCCCTCCTGATGTGGCCCTAGGATCCCACATGCTCCCTGCAGACCCCACAAACCTTGGGGGTTCAGGAGGATGCTATGGGATCTTTGCTGTATCTGCCCTTCTGCCTGTGAGAGGCAATGATGAAGCAAGTTAAAAACAACCGCAGTAATCGCAATGACAATCACAGTGGCAGTAGGAGGAGGCATTGGTTAGCTGTAAAGAGCACAGACTCTGGATCCCAAATATCTGGGTTCAAATCCCAACCGTTCTATGTTCTAGCTGTGTGACTTTGGGTAAATTACTTAACCTCTCTGTGCCTCAGTTTTCTCATCCATAAAAGGTTCCTACTTCACATGGTTGTTCTGATGGCTCAACGCGTTACTATTCTTACAGCGTTTATATCATAAGCGCTGAACATGTGTTTGTTAAGTAAATAAGTAAATAAGAGAAGTAAATAAAGTATTATTGATGGGTTGTGCACAACCAGATATGAGATATAATTTTCACAGCTCTCTGATTATTATTCACGGCTGTGGGCGTGATGATTATCACACCTTGCAAATAAGGAAACAAAGGCTCAGAAAAGTTAAGTAAACTGTCCAAGGTCACACAGCAGGGACAAGGCTTGAACCCACTGTGACAACAAATCCCATAGTGGAGGCTCTGTGATTGAACTTTCAAATCCATTCTCTTGCCCCTCACTCCCATCTGAGAGCTCTGTTTGTTGATCCTGGGCATACCTGACGGTCCTGTGATCACAGCTGGGGACCCCCGGGGAAGCCCCACTGTCTGCACCAGTAACAAGAGCGGGGGCCTCCATTACCTTGACCAGAAGTGTCTTCTTTATGTGGTCCGCAACCTCACTTGTCCTGATCCTGACCTCCACATCCACTTTGCCTATCTCAAGTGGTAGAAGCACAAAGGGCACCATCTTGGAGGAGGTGGGGGGCATGATCACGACCTGGCGGGATGGGGCTCCTGGCTTTGACGCGCTGCACAGTGGCTCCTTGTAGGGGAACTCCACATGGACCTGGGGCAGGGTGGGCAATTAGGGGGTCCTGATGCATGGGGTCGTCTAGGACCCTAGTCACAATTACCTCCCTCTCCTCACCCTGAAAATCCCAAGGAGGTGACAGCACAGCATAGTGGCTAAGAGCAAAGGCCTGTCTGCCACTTATGGGCTGTGTGACCTCAGGAAAGCCCCTTCACCTCTTTGTGTCTCAGTTTCCTAACATGTACACCAAAAGCAATGATAGTAGCCATCTGCTGGGATTATTGTGCATTTTAAATGAGAAAATACCCCAGGAGCTTTTCAAAAGGGCAACCACTTGGCTGACCACTTTGAATAATGGACACACTCCAACCCCTTTATAAAACACACTGATGGATAGTTTGAGAGGAGGGGAGGGCTCAGGCTTCACCTTGACCTTCTCCGTCCTGAAATTGTACAGCATGGCTTGGATCTGGACCTGCTCATTCCTGATCACGGAGGAGGGCAACTTGAGATCCACAAAGAGCTGTTTCATAACTATCAGCTCAAAGGGGTCTGAGATGCAGAGACCTAGAGCCCGGGGGTAGGTGGGCATTAAGTAGAGGCCAGCTGTCCCGGGGCTGGGCAGGACCACCATTCTCCCATCTTCTCAGCCCTGGGCTTGTGGGCTCACCTTTTCCAGGCTTGAGGCTGATAGCCACTAACTGCCACGTGGTGATGGAATCTGGCACGTTCACAGGAAAACTGTAGTGGGAGATGCCTCTGGAAGTGGTGGGGGAAGGGGGGGCATAAGTGAGTTTGTGGTCAGAGCCTCTGCACTGGGGAGTCCCTGTCCAGGGGTCAGTGGGTCACCCTATCAGAGACATCATCACTAGAGGGTCGTCCTTGGGGGGGAACCACTGGGATTTATATCCCCCTCCAGGGAGGTTATAGTGACTGTACTGAGCTCAGTGTCACCATTGGGGGCACCGGCTCTGACTGACATCCACTGATGCCCAGAAGGGCCAGGGACCAGATGCTGCCAGGGACGAGGAGGCTGTGGTCCTACCTTGATGTACTTTTTGGCAGTTCAAACTTTTTCCAGAGCCAACTCTCAGGGAACAAGGTTCGGATAGGCTGGTCCTCCAGGAAGATGTCACCTAAGTCCTCATCTTCATCCGCTGCAGGGAGAGGATGTGGGGCGGTGTCTCCGATGCATCCTCCCACCCCGTCCCCTCGTGGCCCATATCTCTCCATGACTTGTCCCACAGGACTTCATGCCCCTCAGGCAAGCCCCAACCCCCACACCCCCACCTCCCACCACGGCCTCCTCACATGTCCCCAAAAGCAGCTGCTCCTCCCGAGCCTCCTGACTCAGGGCCTCAGACAGACGGCAACAGCTCAGGAAAGCAGCAACACAGGTTGGCCCGTGGCGGACATGCCGTTTCCTCTCTTCACATGATAGCCCTATGGGGCTCTCCTGGAGCCCAGCCTCACAGCACTTTCGCTCCAGCTCTGTCTCGAACTTGTTCACTGTGGGCCAGAGGTAGAGGTACAGAGGAGGGACTGAGACGAACTAGAGGAAACTTGGACTCATCTACCTCAATGCCACGTACACCTGGTCTCTATTTACCCATAATTCAGACAGATGCTGGTCCCAGCACTTTGCCTGTATCTTCCTCCCAAAGCTTCACATTGAACCCATATGCTGGGTTCTGAAGAGGAAGCTAAGCAACAGAGAGTCTAATTCATTGGCCCATGGTCACACAGCTCTCAAGTGGCAGAGCCAGGACTAGAATCGATGCTGCTGCTGCTTCTCATTTTCCCCCTCCTCCTCCTGTCCCTTCTTGACAGGGATTGGTAATGCCATATTTGCATATTAGAGATGCCATTTCAACTTCTATTTTTTTTTTTTTTTAGATTTTATTTATTATAGAGAGAGAGAGAGCACACAAGCAGGCGAAGGGGCAGAGGGAGAGGGAGAAGCAAACTCCTCACTGAGCAGGGAGCCCAATGTGGGGATTGATCCCAGGACCTTGGGATCATGACCTGAGCTGAAGGCAGAGGCTTAACCAACTGAGCCACCCAGGCGCCCCAGCATTTCAACTTCTGATTTCCATTATGTATTTTTTTTTAAATCAAAACATAAACCATGTTATAAAGCATGATGTTAAGTTGAATGCTTCTAAGTTAGGAAACTGAAAGAATACACTTAAAGGTAAAAATATTCAGGGGACCTGGGTGGCTCAGTTGGTCAAGGGTCTGACTCCTGGTTTCAGCTCAGCTCTTGATCTCAGGCTCATGAGATTGAGCCCTGCATGGGGCTCCGCACTCAGCATAAAGTCTGCTTGAGATTCTTTTCCTTTTTCTCTCCCTCTGCTCTTCCCCCTGCTCACACTTGCTCTCTCTTGAAAACAATAAATAAATAAATAAATAATATATAGCAATTAAAAACTCTTATTGTTTACTATTAACATAATTATAGTTAAATTTTATAACTCATCATAAATAAAACAAGGGGGTTAGCACAATTTAATACCAAAATTAAAGTCAAGGTTTTACCTCAATTTCTATTAGGTTTCACTTACTTTCTCTTTATTCAGATTCACAAAGTCATGAGCATTGCTCAAGGAGACGGAAAAATCTAGTATTTGCAGAACCCATGCTTCCAACACCACTCAGTGCTGCCTCCCATCTTCCCTTTACCCCAGGCTCAGAGCTTCTTATTCTGGTCCACACCCTGGCCTTGGGGATGGCAGGTTTGTTATTATCCACGGGCACCCAGCACCCATCTCTCCTTTTGTCTATGTTCGCTTTTGTATCACAGAGCCTAGATAGCTTGAAGCTGCATTTCCCAGACTCCCTTGCCGCTAGGGTTCTAGATGAGATAAGGTTCTGCCACCGAGACACTCCTGTGTCTGGAGGGTGGAAGAGGTGGAGGTCATTTTCCCTGGCAGTGGTAGCTGAAGGGTGAACCCCAGTCTATGTGTGTTTTTGTAATGGGCACATTTCTGCACTTCATTACTTACCCACCAGCATCGTAAGAGATATGGGCAGCAGTTTCCTGAGATGTCACACGTTACAAAGCTGCAGTGAGGTGATTTTGAGTCCCAGCAAGCAGCCACTCCTACAGACTATCTAATGATTTTGAAAGCACCAAACTCCCATCATTAAATCCCTCCCTTTCTGCTTGAAGTACCTAGAGCAGTTTCAGTTTTTCTCTTCTAAGCTCTGATGAATACAGTAGGTTAGGAAGCCAGGAGGGATATGTCCAGCTTTAGCTCTGACCTGCATTCCTCTTGGTCTCCAGCCTCTTCAGAGAGCGGCGGCGGCGGCTGGCAGGGGGACTCTGAGGGCACTGCCAGTCTGAGGGTCAGAAGAATGAGGGGGTCACTGTCATCAAGATCATTATCAACATCCCTGATATTTATTGGGTGCTGACAGAATGCCCAGTGCTTTCTAAGCATCATTTCTTTTAATCCTGTAACCTCCTCATGTTCATGATTCACCACTTAAAAGCTGTGCAATCTTCAGCAAGTCACTTAAACTCTCTGGGCATTAATTTCTCCAGCCATGTAAATTGGTATAATCATAGTTCTATCAATGAGATGATTCATATAAAAGTACTTAGCACAGCTTGTAGTAAATAGAAACTGTTACTGATATCATTATTTATAGCTGAAAGAAGACACTCCTAGTTGTCCCTAGTATTCACTCTCCCCCTTCATCCATGGGGACTAAACCTCCTTCTTTTGCATATCACTCTAGAATGAAGACTACATTTCCCAGCCTCCCTTGTACCTAGGCAGGGCTGCATGACTGAGTTCCAGCAAATGAGATTTGGGAAAGTATCTCCCCTTCCCACTTCCCTTCATACTCTTGCCTGGCAGGAGGTCCTGACGAGGTGCCATCTTGTAGCAGAGCAACAAGCTAGAAGGAGCTTGAGCTCCAGAATGACCTCAGAACTGTTACTGAGTGAGGAATAAACTTCTACCTTGTTTAAGCTAATGTTAGTTTGTATCTCTGATACAAACCTATATCATGGCCAAACCTATATCTTAACTAAGACATAGGGAGTCACTTCTATTATTATCTCCATTTTACGGACAGAGAAATTGAGCTTCAGAGAGGAAATGTAACTGACTCATGATGAGTAGGATGCTCCTAGATTTTAGCCTGTCTGACACCAAACCTCATGTTCTTAACCACTAGACAGCACCTGCCCACCCACCCTGCCCCTGGCATGTTTCTTCCTGTACCTGAGCTTGTCAGGGTGTGCATCCCTGTGCTCATCTTCAGGTCCAAGCCAGCATCCTTGAACACAGCAAGTCCATCTTTCCCACTGCCCGATGTACAGCCAATGTCATGTTCCTCCACCACATCCCAGACCTGGGGGTTTAAGATAGGAACCTAGCTTTGGAGCCTGGGTGGCCTTTTCAGGGAAGGAGCAGTGTGCACTGAAATTGCTGGCTCAAATAATAATTCTCACACCACCTCCCATTTACTGAGCTCTTATCACCTTCCAATCTCTAGCTGTGCACTAGCTCCTTGAATCCTTGAATCCTTGCAACCATCAATGTTGCCCACTTTACAGCTGAAGAAGCTGAAGCCCCAGTTTTAGAACCTCTAGGTAACCTCTTGGCCCAAAGCCCATGTATTCTCACCTTCTTCTGTGTGAGCTTGTGTTTACTGTTCAAGACATAAACAGCTTTGTCCACGGCCACCAACCCCACTGTGGCCTCTTCATCACCGGTCACCTTCAATTCCACATTGCTATTGGGTTTCAAAGAAATCTGGTAGTGTCTGTCTTTCTTTAAACCAACATTCAGCTGACCCAGGAAAAAGAGAGATGTCAGTAAAAGGCCCTCAGATGCTACCAAGGGATTTCCCCAAGTCCACTTTCAAGTTTATGCTCCTTATAGGTCTGATGAAGCATCCGGGAGCTTCACCAGGCCAATCCCAACTCCACACATTTGTTTGCATAGTCTCCATGCCCTAGGCTGAGCTTTTTCTTTTCTTTTTTCTTTTTTATGTTTTTTTTTAAAGATCTTATTTATTTGACAGAGAGAGATCAGAAGTAGGCAGAGCAGCAGGCAGAGAGAGAAGGGGAAGCAGGCTCCCCGCTGAGCAGAGAGCCCGATGTGGGGCTCGATCCCAGGACCCTGAGATCATGACCCGAACCGAAGGCAGAGGCTTAATCCACTGAGCCACCCAGGTGCCCCACCTAGGCTGAGCATTTAAGGGCACATCTCCTCTTCCTCTCCCCATCCCTAGACTTGGAGCCCTTCAACTTGGACAGACTTTTCTGCCCATCCAAGCTTTATGATGGTAATGTACAACTTCAAGGAATTTGGCTCACCGTCCCCATGCATCGGTCATTCACATCAACCCATACGGAGTCGGCCACCAGTTCAGGATCCTGACCTGCTCCCCTGGGCAGTAAATAAAAGGCCAGGATGCGGAATGAGGGCAGCATCTCTGAAGTAACATCAATAGTGGCTACTGTGTGGTCACTTTTTAACTGATGTTTGACATCCACAATCCGGCCCTTACTCAGAACCTTGGAGATAAGAGAAGACAAGAATGACAAAGGTAGGGTCAACCTTTTCCGGAGACCATCTCAGCTCACAAGGGAGACTCACAGTTCTTTTGCTTCAGCTCCTTAGTCTGAGGCCACCCCAAATGGTTCCCACCCTCACACCACTGTTCACGTTTTCTCCAAACCAGCTAGCCAGGGATGTTCCAGGGAAATCATTCCTTGGCTTAAGTTTTAGTCCTAGCCACTCACCAGGATGGTGAAGTGAGTGATCTGTTTCTTGGTTTCATGATTCTGATGTCCTGTGACAAGGCTCAGGTAGATGCTGCTGCCTACGTCTGCGACCGTCTTCACCTCAATGTGCAACAAGTTTCCTGACCCACCCTGAGACGAGTAAGGCCAAGCCGTCATATTGGCTGAAGCCTGCTCTTCTGGCTGGAGAGGTTCTTCAGTTTCTACCTGGGGAGAGTGATGAGCAAGTAAACTTCCAGCTCTTCTAGCTCACACAGCTCCACCATCCCTACCCCATTAGGTTGGTACCAGGATAGGGAGCTTCTCCTGATTATTTGCATGTGTGTTGATGGTCAAAATGGCCTCTCCACTGGCTGAGGTTCGGTCTCGTTTGTCTTGGCATCAGACACGGACTCCAGAGGCTGGGGACCCATCAGGATTTGAGACAAAGACCTGAGGTGGAATAGGGGTGAGATGAAAGACAGGCCTTGTGGTGGCCTGGTATGAGAAGTGGGTACTGGGAATCTGATCTGGACAGGACTGCCTTGTATAGCTGTACAAGTTGTGCACTGAACAACACTGGGGGAACCATACATATTAGGTTTTTGCAGTGTGCAATCATATGTGGTGGCCCTAGCGGTTGGTGTGCTGGGGTAATGGGGGTGGAAGGGATTAGAATGGAGAGATGAGGAAGGCTTGGGGAAGTCTTTAGTAGGACTGGCACCAAAGGATGTCTCTGGTTTTCCTAATGTCCATCAGACTTCTCAAAGTCACCCCAAATGAATGTATGTAAAACCAGCATTCTTGCTGTGCAAATGTAGCCTAAAGATAACTCCCTGTGCACCACCTTCTAGCCTGACTGTGACCACTAAGCACCCCACAGAGAAATTTTGGAGCCATCACAGTGCTTTGGGGCAACTTGGGTTGAGACTTGAGAGAGACTTGGGATTGGTCTGAGAGGCATGATGGATTCAGTTCTCAAACAGATGTATTGTGGGGGACAGGTGAGCCCAGTGTGGTTTTTTGTCTCCTGAGAGGGGTCTGTTAGGGGAAGTGAGCTCCGAGTCCCTAGGTGGAATGAAGTCAGACTCTGACCTTAACGTGGAAGGGCATCCCAGGCTTGAAATACTGGGGAGTCCTGATGAACTTGATGTTGTATGGGCTCCGGACAATCTTCACGCCTGGGGTCTCAGCCTGGACCATCTCACCCCCTGGAGAGACAGGGGACTGTGAGGTCTACGGAGGAGGTTCAATTTCTTGGGAGAGTGACAGAGCTGCTGGTATGGGAAGCCTGTCTTGGTGAGGACGTGGAAAAATAGTAACACAATCTCAGCTCCTTCCAGCCTTTCTGGCATTTTTGCATTTCTCTGATGAGGAAACAGGCTGGGAGGTGGCCCATGGTCACACGGGTAGAATGTCTAGTTTGAGTAAGGACACTGTCCTGACTTCAGCCAGGAGATTGGGTAAAGATGGCACCTGAAGAGAACACGGTGACATCGACAAAGATAAAGGCCCCAATGAAGTCCTCTTCTGGGCCTTGGAATGTGGACATCAGTGTTTTCTTCTGGAGGGAGACGTGACCCAGGCCTTCAGAAATCTGCTCTCAGAATGAGAGAGAGAAGAGGAGATGGTTTCTTGGGGAGTAGAAAAGAGTTGGTGGAGGGGGAAGTTAGGTGGGGGGTGAGGTCAAGACTCAGTTACCTCCACTTTCTGCAGGGAGCTCTGGATGGTCATCCGACGGGAATGCAGCTTCACCCCGAAGATGGCCAGAGCCTGTCCATTCACTGGCTCTTCGAATACATAACTGAGGGTGGGTGGAGGGTTATTCCACTGGGCTCTGAATCACCTACACAAACTCATGTGGTTGCAGAGATGTCCTGTAGGACCTCATGAGGCTGCTTGGATGGTGGTAAAACTTTGGGAGGGGCAGAGGTGGCCCCTGGAAACTCAGAAGGTTTCATTGCTCACCTACACAACCCTGGGAAGTGATATATGTGTTCCATAAAGCTTTGTGTTGGGTTGCAGATGTGGCCTGTGCAACCTCACAAGATGGTGGAGGTAGCCCTTAAAGCCTCATCAGGCAGACTAGGGGGCATGCGTAGCAAGCTATAGGGACAGTCTGCATAGTGTTAAGAAGTGGCAGATAGGGCCCTTACAACCTTAGGTAGACAAATGGTCTGTACAACCTCATAGTACTGTGGAGATGGTTTGAACAATTTCATAAGATGACAAATGTGCCTGTGCAACCTTGTGGACCTTCAGAGATGATCTGAGCTGTGAGACATGGCATGACTTTATTCGGTGGACAAGATGTCCTGTACAACCCAGAGACCAGAAGGAATGGTCTGTACTACTTACATGTGGCAGATGTGGTCTGGACAACCTCACAAAACAATGTAGGTGTCCAAGAATACCTCATGGGTGGCAGCGAGTACCTCTACCATACCTTAAATGCCATAGAAGTAATCTGCTTCTCTACCCATTCAGTTTCTTGGCATTCCTGGTCCTCTGGCCAGGCTGGGGACAAGGCGACTTACCAAGCCTTGATGTCCACACCCAGAGCCTCATCGTTGAGGTGGAAGAAAGTCTTGTTTGGCTTCAGCTGGACCTCAAATGATGGGAGCACTGGGTGGGGTAAAGGCAGTGGACACCCTCCATATTTTGCTGTCCCCCTCCTTGTCCCCTCCCTGTTCACTATTTCCTCAGTGACTCTTGCAATCCCCAAGGATTGGAACACATGGTTCTGTTCACCAGCACCCAGCTTAGGCCCCAGCACACAGTAGGTGCACCATGATCCCTCTTTTCCACTTCCAACCCCGTGTCTTGCCTCCTCACCTTGCTCTGCCCATCACACCTACTCACCATAATCCCTGACTTCAAAGGTTGCCTTGAACTTTTGCTTAGCTGCACTTTGGTAACTGGCTTCGATGCTCCAGGTCCCAAAACTGAGACACAGAGAATTAGAAGAGATGGAGACTGAGGAAAGCCTCCAACCCTCCTTCCACAGGGCTCCCAGCAGAGCACCTGACAATCTGTGGGAGTTTAAAGGATTTTGCGAAGAAACCGTCCTTGGCTAGCAGGTTCTGGCTGATCACCGTGATCCCCTCCGGGTTCTGTGGGGACAGGGGGTGTAGTTCATGCCCCAGGCCTTCAGCCCATGATAGAACCTCAGGGGTCTACCCAGTAGGATCCACCCTCCCATCAGGAGAGGCCACCTTGATGTCTAGAGTGAATATCCTTTGGGCAGGATCCATCTTGTGGTCCACAACAAACACCCGGTATTGAACTGGAGGGAGAGGGAAGACTCTGAGTTCTGGATAGAATCTGAAGAGGGAGGTAGTCGTTAGGATCTTGGGCATTAGGATATAGGGGTCTTTGGGCAGAGGGTGACCTTGGGAGGTGGAATATGACAGGCACTGGGGGAGGCGGGGAATGAGAGTCAGCATCTGCCCTAGGCCAAGTGCCTGGACGCTCTACCCAAGTGTTCAGGGGTGTAGAGAGGCTTGTCTGTCTGGATGAAGATGTAGCCAGCATGGGGAGCCACTGGGACTATTCTCTCCATGAATGAAGTGGTCGAGGTGGGTGCCCAGTTTGCCCGGATGATGACATGCTGCTGTCCTGGTTGTGGGGGGTATATCAGGCTCTCGGGGATCTGGGGAGAGAGGTCCACACTCTTCAGGCTCTGCAGAGGTCCCCATCCCTGGGAGCAAAACCCTGAACCAGATCTTGGGAGAAACAACTGAATGGGGGCCCTCTGGCTCTGGGGCTGGGAGCAAGGTGGCCTTGCAGCTTGTTCCTACACAAGGGCGCCCCGCCAAAGTGGGAATGCAATCCAGTCCACAGTCCGGGTCCCAAGCCACCAGCAGAGGGCGCCTCTTATTAATTCTCACAGAGATCTCTTACGGGCTGATCTCTGCCCTTCTTGGAGCCCGGATTCAGGGGACTTCGGATTTCTAACTGGACAGGACATAAGAGGAGCAGTAAGTATATCCAAACCCTGCCTCTGTTCTCCAGTGTTCCTCGTGGGGAGTCCCTCTGGAGTCTGCCCCTCTCCATCCTTGCCGCTGACCCAGAGCCTCCCTCTGCGGCCACCCATCCCATCCTGGCCTGTCACCTACCGTCACGGACGCCTGTTTCATAAAGTTGTTTGCTTCTGAGAGAAGGAGGTGGCTCTTAGCCACCACTGTCTTCTTCATGGGGAAGTCCCATACGGTGAGGTTCACCTCGAGGGTCCCTTTGAGGGACTGCTGGGAGTCCGAGTGAGCCTGTACGTGGATGGTCTCAGGGCCGCCGACCCGCAGGGCTCGGGGGGTCACCAGGATGTACCTGCCAGGAGACAAACGCAGGAGCATGGGGGCGGTGGGACTCAAGTCGGGGAAGCAGCGTCGGAAAGGCAGGCGCATGCGCAGGGAATCACACAGGAAGCGGCCCTTCGTTTCCCACACTCACAGTGGCTCAGCATGGGCAAGAGGGGTCCCCAGGAGGAGCAGAATCAACCCCACAGGCCAGGTCACGTCCATGGCAGTAGGGGGGTGATGTGCAGCCCCAGGCCACAGACACCTGTCCTCTTGTCTGCTCTGTTTGCTTTGGCCTCTTCTGGCTCAGTTAATATCTAAACAGGCGTGGGGAGGAAATCCCCATAACTCCAATGGGGGAAGAGGGAGCTTCTCCTCCCTTCTCAGCCCATCCTCCACGGGAGGCCGGGGACAGCTGCACTGGGAAGTATCCCAGGTGCCCCCTTGGAGGCCAGAGTGGTGGAGGGGGGGGGGTTGTCCTTTCCATGACCCATAAGGTCTTATCTGGAAGCCTTCCCCTCTACCAGCAAGAAGCCTAGGGTTGGGAGACTTGGCTCAGAGCTTGGTTTGGGACTGACCCAGAGGGGCAGGAAGAAACAGAATTGTTCCCACCTCTGCCCTTGTGAAATTGGTGAGTTTCTGAGGTAGCTGCTCAAACGGGGGCAGCACAGGGATTATATCTTCATTTCCCCAATCATAGAGCATGAGCAGCCATGGCATTGAGCCGTCCGGCCCCACGACCCGCCATAATGGAACCTTCTCAAAAAGGCATAGGTCAAATCCTCTTGCTGGGCTCCAGATCTTTCTGCATAATTACGCTTGGTAAATTGTGACCATTGTTCATTGTTCCTAAATCACGCCAAGCTCTTTGGGCTCCTTTTCCAGAAGGGAAATTATACATATTAAACCAGGGACAAAAACACATCTTGCTTGAGGCATTCCTGGAAGAAGGCTTTCTCTGTCCCGAAATAATTTTCACTGCCTGTTTAATATGCCCTTTAAAGATGTTGGACCCACTTTGTGGTGTCTGCCTCTTAGAAGCAGACAAGTTTGTCTGGTTCTTTTTTTTTTTTTTCCAGTTTTTTTTTTTTTCCACTGCCAATCTGGACAGTCTTGCTTATTGGAAAGCACCAGATCTCCCCGAAACAATGATAAAATACATGTATTCCACAAAGATTCATTAAGTATGTGCTATGAGCCCAGCCCTCCTAAGCATGCTGGGAACACAGCAGTGTCCACATTAGCCAAAATCCCTGCCCCTGTGGAATGGACATTTAATGAGGACTTACTAAGGGCTTAAGGTACATTTCTGCCCTAAACCTCATAGCCTCTTGTTAATTAGGTTCAACCTGTGCTTGCTTTCCAGGCTCTATCTTTGTAGAGAGCTATAAAACCAGGTGTGGATCTAGTCATTTTTTCCTCACTGTGTGTCAGATGCTGTTCTACGTGCTCTGTCTGCACTGACAGAAGAACCATAAATGCCCCTTTATGCTAAAGTAAGAATTCCCACCTATTGTACAGATAAGGAAACTGAGGCCTGGTGAGCGAAGGCAACTTGCCCTGGGTCAGGCAGGGGAGCCGTGAGGCTCCAGGTGATGCTCTAGAGTCCAAGGTCAACAATCCCTTGTGAAGCAAAGAATCGGCAGAATCAAATTAAGACCTGGATCAGGGAAGCAGGGGAGACCTAATTTGGAAGGTTCTAGAACACTGGTGTCCACGTTGGGTGGTGTATTCCGCTGCTGTCCCGTGCCCTCAGGGAATCCCTGCTGGTTCTGTTCAGCCCTCCTTCAGCTGGGTGTGAGCTCTCCCCTTCACATCTTGGTCCTCACGCGAGGTGTCCACATCCCCCCTCTGTCCCAGGGACTCCTAGGTGTCCAGAACAAGGCACCATCCAAAGGTGAGGGATTCTCAGTCCCTCCCACCTTCTGTCCAGTCTGGGCTCCCGCTCACCATGCCAGTGTCTCTGTCTCCCCAGTGGGAAACCTGGTCAGGTAAGCCTATCTGAGGCTTTTGAAACATGCTCAAGCCTGCAGCTTCCTTGAGTTTTGGTTTTGTCTTGGGAGTGGGCCCAGGAAGGGAAAAACAGAGGAGGTGGGAAATACTTTGAAAACAAGGTGATACAGCTTTATCATCTGATGAACAAATGCATAGAGGAGGAAGTGGATGAATGAGTGATAGCAGCTCACCCCTCATACCTCTGTCCCCCCCTCCCCACCCAGCCTCAGGTCCCTTAAATGAAGAAGCAGCTTTGTTCAATAACTAATACATAAAATAAACGAGAGCACCATTTGCATGCCTGTCCTTGCTGTAGGTGCTGGGGACACAGCAGTGAAAAGGACCGAAACCCCTTCCCCTTAGGGAGTGAGTGTCTACTGTAGCTGCCTTCACCTGGACGGTCCCTTTTTAGCCTCTCAGCATTCTCATTAGAATTCCCATTGACCCACTTTGCAGATGGAAAAACCTAACTGTGTCGTTAGGAAACGGAGGCACAGGGAGGTTAAGCGACTTGCCTCAGATCACACGTCAAGTTAAGCGAACCTGTGTTGAGAGGGAGCTCCAGGAGAGTAGGGGGTCGCAGGCCCGCTGTGGGATCCACCCGGGACCGCTACAGCAAGTTAATGGTCAAGTTCAACCTTTCGCACTTAGCCGCGAGAGGGCGCGAGCGAGCCTCCAGCCAGACCGAGGAGCGCTCGGCCTCCTCCCACAGGAATGCGGGCGGTGGAGGGAGGGGACGTTGGCCACACGCCCAGAGCAGCTGCTACCGCCGCTCAGATCCCGCCCGCCTTCCCCTCCCTGGGACCCCGGGTTTGCAGGGCGGGAGGGACGGCTTTGCAGGGATGTGTGGCCTCTGTTTTCGCTCCCTCCTTCTCCAGGCTTCTAGCCCAAAGCTTCCCGGGAAAATCCGGGCAGGATCCAGGAGGCTGGGAGTGATGCCCAGGACAACATGGCCGTGAATGGCTGTCACTTCTGAAACACCTAAGTTCCGGCACTTAGTAGGGACTTTCTCCCCAGCAACCCTTCCATTTTACAGGTGAGGAAACCGAAGCTCAGAAAGGTGACATTTCTTGCTCCGGTAGGAGGTATCAGGAGCGTCTTAACGTCTTACCCTGCTGGGTCACTTCCTGTCTCAGCTCAGACTCCTCCGGTCATGGTCATTTCTTGGTCCCTGACGACTTCTGATCACGCACTTGTTTTCCCCAAGGCTTCAGGAGCTGGCCTTGCTTCCTGGTCCCTAAGGGCATCCATCCCATGCCTCCCCTCCTGGTCCAAGGAGGTCTGGCTCGCAGGGAGAATTTTCAGGGGGAGCTTGTTGCTTGCTATGGGAAGAGAGGGAAGAATTCAGCAGTCACGTTCGGGGTTGATTATTGGGTCTGAAAGCGGTGTGATAGGTGCCACAACAGAACTGACAGCCTGATCAGGGAAAACTGTCCCAGAATAAGCAGTTATGAGGGCTCAGAGAAACCTCCTAACCCTACCAGGCTGGAGAGTCAAAGAAGGCATCCTGGAGGAAGTGGTATTTAGGCTGACACCTGGAAGTCTAGAAAAGCAAAGGTAATCCGGGGAAGGATTAGGGGAGGGAGACAGCAAGATGGTTTTGCTTTGGGGGAGGGAACAGCCCAGGCAGAGACCTGGAAAGGAGGTGATCTGAGGAGTAGTAAGGAAAGGGTCTCAAAATCCTTCTTAGGCCATGGAGAATCTCATTTGGATGCATTCATTTATCCACTCATTCTTTCCTTTGTCAAATATGTGGATATCTACCTTGTGCCGCATTCTCTTGTAGGTGCTGGGGATGTAGGTGAGCAAAGTTTCCTCCCCATGGAGCTGGCGTTCTAGTGAGTTCTTGTTTCAAGCAAAAACCAAATAACTAACATATGTCAGGTGATGAGAAATAAAGCAGGTTCAGGGGACGGAGTGACAGGGTACTGTCTTGTGGCCTCTCTGCGAAGGTGAACTGAAGGAAGGAGCCATGTGGCTATCTGGGAAAAGGGTTCTAGCAGATGGGGCAGCAAGTACAAAGGCCCTGAAGTAGGGATGTGCATGGAGGGTGCCTGGGTGGCCCAGTCATTAAATGTCTACCTTCGGCTCGGGTCATGATCCCAGGGTCCTGGGATCAAGCCCTGTGTAGGGCTCCCTGCTCACTGGGAAGCCTTCTTCCCCCTGTCCCACTCCTCCTGGTTGTGTTCCCTTTCTTGCTGTCTCTCTTTCTCTCTCTGTCAAATAAATAAATAAATAAATAAATAAATAAAATCTTAAAAAAAAAAAGGGAATGTGCACGGAGTATTTAAGAAATAGTAAGGAGGTCAGTGTTCCTAGAACGAAGTCGGTGAAGTGGAAAGAGTGGGAGATAATTTGAGATTAATATTCAAGGATCAGATCATGTAGGAGGCCTCATAGTTATGGATTTGAATCTAAGTAAGAGGGGGAACCGTTGGAGAATTTTGAAAAGAAGAGTGACATTATTTTTCTGTTTTAACAGAATCGGTGGGGTAGGTCCTTTGTTACTCTCACTTGAAATCCAAAGGTAACAACAATAAGAAGGACAGATAATTCCATGACATGAAAATAAGGCCAAATGCACCACAGAAAAGTTGAAAAATTAGGGGGAAAGTGCACTTCCTATTACAGTCTCCCTAACCTCCATACACTTGATCTTAGCCAAAAGGCCGAGAAGCGATTCCCTAATCTCCATAATATGTAAAGAGTTTCTGGGGATTACTAATAAAAATATAAACAATCCAACAGAAAAACTTGAGCAAAATGCGCAGTCAGAATGTTCACAAAAAATGAAATACAAAAGGTTCTTTGTCATGTGAAAAGACAGTCAACCTCACTCATAATAAGAGAAATCCAAGTTTAAATAAGAGAAATAGGAGATAGTAATTTTTACCCATTAGAATGGCCAAAATGTAGGAGACTAATCATGTGCAGTGTGGTGAGGCTGTGGGGAAGTGACCATACTAACATATGGACATCAGTTTTTCCCAATAGAGTTGAATTTGATAATGTTCATAAAAATAACAAATGCGTAGTTCTTTGGCCAAGTAATCCCATGACAGAAACACTTGCACATGTGTGAAATGATATATGCACACAAGGTTATTCATTGCAGCCATTTATATAATAGGAAAAGATTGGAGAGAGCCCAAAGATTCATCAGTACAGGACTGGTTCCATAAATCATTGTCCACGTACACAACAGGATATATCGCAGCTGTGCAAAAGAATGAGGATGTCTGCTTGGGCTGATATGGGAACACTTCTAAGACATATTATTCAAGGAAAGAACTGAAGTTCGCATTTAGGTGTAAAGTATGCTGATTTCTGTGAAAAGTTTAATAAATATAT